GGTTGAGGAAACATTGATCATGGACCCAATTCAGCTTGCCACCAGTTCTTGTAACTGACTGGACCACAGTCACAGGTGTTTGTTTACATATTCTGTCGCTACTTTCACACCAAAGTCAAGTAGTTGTCATAGAGATCGCATGACACGCAGTTTCCAAAGTATTTACTATATGACCTTTTGCATCAGAAAGTGTGCCAATCCCTGGTCTTCAGTCTGTTGAGGAGAGGAAACTTGAGGGTTCTAGCAAAGCCTGGAGAGATTCAGGAAGGCTTCCTGAAGGTGTCCAGCATCCTCTAAAGTATCTGTTCTGGATATGTGAGATATGAGTGATGGTAGCCGTATACCAAAGTAAAGCTAAGTGCATGTGACTTTGCCTGCACGTGACAGCCTGAGGGAGGCTCCTAGTTGGCTTCTGCCCACTGTTCCCCTCCAAGGGATGCTATGTTCACAGGAAAGGACAGAACCAAAGATGATATTGTAATAATATTAGAAACAAAAAACGTTATTACTATTTGCATCTTTGTAAAGGTTTCAGAGTGTTATTTGCTTGGTGACACCTCACGAGACATAATGAGGACATAAACTCTTTTGACCACCCATCCCAACCCATTTGTAGGAGTTCAAACACCCTTTGTGGCCCCAAAGTCAAGAAGCACAGCAGAGCTGTGGGCTGCCACAGCCCGGGACAATCCACAAAACAACCACATTGGGAGGGTAAGTGATGCCTTCCTTGTTGTTGGGTTTCTGCCCATTCGTCCCTGGCCCTGGGTAGAACAGCTGAGGCCACACGGTGCACAAAACATGTGGTTTATTTACAACGATCAACTGGACCTGCAGGAGTACCACCAGGTGTGCTGTACCTAAGAAATCCTCAAGCACATAGATTCGGGACCCAGTTTTTTCCTTACAACCCAAGATTATGCTCCACAATTGTGGTGTATTCCTCAAACAATGGTAAAGGAAATTTAGTTGAAGCTTGAAAATAAGGCAAAGATGTAAGATGTCCTTTCAATGGCTAACAGGTTCAACCAAAGATTACTTAATTATTTACGAGAATGTTCCTGTGCTTTGACTTTTATTAGAATCGAGACATTGTAAAATTACATGCTGATCTTTCCTTTGAGACAAAAACAAAGCAACAAATTGTGGTGCTGGAGAAGATCTTTACCATCTGAGCCACAAGGGAAGCCCTGGAGAAGACTCTTGAGAGTCCTTTGGACAGCAAGGAGGTCAAACCAGTCTATCCTAAAGGAAATCAACCCTGAACATTCATTGGAAGTACTGATGCTGAAGTCGAAGCTCCAATACTTTGGCTGCCTGATGTGGAGAGCTGACTCATTAGAAAAGGCCCTGATTCTGGGAAAGACTGAAGACAGGAGGAGAACAGGGTGGCAGAGGATAAGAGGCCTTCCCAGATGGTGCTAGTGGCAAAGAATCTTCTGCCAGTGCAGGAGTCATAAGAAATGCAGATTCGATTCCTGGGTCCGGAAGATCCTCTGGAGAAGGGCATTGCAACCCACTCCAGTATTCTTGCCTGGAGAATCCCATGGACAGAGGAGACTTGTGGGCTACAGTCCATAGTGTCACAAAGAGTCAGACACAATGGAAGTGATTTGCACAGCACAGAGATAGTGAAGAACAGAGGAGCCTTGTATGCTGCAGTCCATGGGTTTGGGAAGAGCTGGACACGACTTAGCAACTAAACAGAAAATGTTAAAAGCAATATTCAAATGCCAACAAGAAAGTGGGATTTCAAAGCAAGGATGCTTAGATGGTTTCTTGTTTTTGTCTTGTGAATCTTAGTTCCTGACCACGGGTCAACTCTGAGCCCTCAGCAGTGAAAGCATGGAATCTTTTTTTTTTTTTAATTAGTTGGAGGCTAATTACTTTACAATATTGTAGTGGGTTTTGCCATACTTGACATGAATCAGCCATGGATTTACATGTGTTCCCCATCTTGATCCCCCCTCCCACCTCCCTCCCCATCCCATCCCTCTGGGTCTTCCCAGTACACCAGCCCTGAGCACTTGTCTCTTGCATCCAACCTTGGCTGGCGATCTGTTCCACACTTGATAATATACATGTTTCAATGCTATTCTCTCAGATCATCCCACCCTCGCCTTCTCCCACAGAGTCCCAAAGTCTGTTCTATACATCTGTGTCTCTTTTTCTGTCCTGCATATAGGGTTATCATTACCATCTTTTTAAATTCCATATATATGCATTAGTATACTGTATTGGTGTTTATCTTTCTGGCTTACTTCACTCTGTTTAATGGGCTCCAGTTTCATCCATCTCATTAGAACTGATTCAAATGTATTCTTTTTAATGGCAGAATAATATTCCATTGTGTATATGTACCATAGCTTTCTTATCCATTCGTCTGCTGATGGGCATCTAGGTTGCTTCCATGCCCTGGCTATTATAAACAGTGCTGCGGTGAACATTGGGGTATACGGAGAGCATGGAATCTTAACCACTGGATGGTGATCCATCCAGTGGAAATTCCAATGGAATTTCCCAATGGAAATGAAAAATTTCCAAGTGGAATTCCCATCCAATGGAAATTCCCTAGATGTGTTTCTTAAATGTGAGGCAGGGCACAACTTCTGTAATACCACAAACTGTTGAGGTTCCAGGTATTATCCATATGAAGTGTATTATACACCCTTATCTCAAGAAAATCTCCGAATTTCTCTGCAAGGTCTCACTACCCTCCTAAAACTCCTATCTTGCAGGATAGAAAATGTCATTTTCTGTTTTGCAGGATTTTTCTCCAAGCCTCCTGGGACACAGTCCTAAAATACTCCCTGGAGGACAGTGTTTCCAACAAGCTAACTGAATCCTCCTGGGGGAAGTCCATTTCTACCACCTCCTTATCTGTTTTCAGTGCTAGCTCTGCTTATCACCTGTGTAACTAAGAAGAGCCTTTAACCATGACCGAATAAAAATGTGACACAGAGTAACTGATGTTGCTGATGGGAGAGGTGGCTCAATGGGACATGAAACCTGCATAAGCAGCTGCCCTCATGACTCCATCTGGGCTTCAGTATAAGTGTACATTTCATCCTCTTGACATCACATCTCCTTAAGTTCCTTCAGAGATCATCCCCCTCCACTTTTTTTTTTTTTAAACTATTGCTAGTATTCTCAATCAACCACTGAACAATTAAGATGGTGTGGAATAGAGGATGAGAGTACAGACTGTGAGGGGCTTCCTTGATGGCTCAGACAGTAAAGAATCTGCCTGCAATGTGGGAGACCCAGGTTCAATCCCTGGGTCAGGAAGATCCCATGGAGAAGGGGATGGCTACCCACTCCAATATTCATGCTTGGAGAATCCCATGGACAGAGCCGCCTGGCGGGTTACAGTCTGTGGGGTCACAAAGAGTCAGACACAACTTAGTGACTAAGCATGTACACACATATATAGTCTGAAGCCAGAGTCTTTAAGTTCCCATCCCAGCTCGGCTATGTGTTAGCTGAGCCACCTTGATGAATCCTCTAACCCCTCTGTAAATCAGTCTGCTCATCTGTAATATGTCCTTCATTAGGTTCTGAAGTTAAATACATGAAAAGCGCTTCCAATAATGCTTGGTACATGGTGAGCACTGCACTCACCTGAAGCTCTTTGAGACAATTACTATCATGGCATTAAGTACCCAGAAGGGTGCTTAACCAACATTTACCAATGATGTCCTCTGAGGAGCAGGATTTAGGAAGGGAGGTTGCTGAGGTAAGGATTTTAATTTCTAACTCATGCACCTCTGTATTGTTTTAATTTATTACTTTTTTTTCATTTATTTTTATTAGTTGGAGGCTAATTACTTTACAATATTGTAGTGGGATTGACATGAATCAGCCATGGAGTTACATGTATTCCCCATCCCGATCCCCCCTCCCACCTCCCTCTAATTTATTACTTTTTATTAGAAGCAACATAAGGAAAACAATTTTAATGGCATCTGGCTAAGAGAATATAAAACAATCTCTCCAAACCTCCCATTAAAAGCTAAGAAGACACAAACTTTTTAAAAAAATCCACCCAAATATTTAAAACTAATGTTACCAATCTAAGGTTTGGAACCTGTATGAATTTTCTGTATCTAGGAGACCAACTGAGGCAAAGTGGGGGAGGAAAATAGTATCACTGGCCCATCTCCACTTCCCAACAAATAGGTACTCAGAACTTCTCAGCCTTTAGCAATAAAAATTTGAGCTCAGTACCAATCAGAAAACAGAGTAGCAGTCTCCTCCACTTCACAATGAGCTTCTTTGTTTTGAGCCAAGCAACCAGATGTGGCCATGCTTTCCCCATCAGCTTCTCTTTCTACATTCAGTTTAAAACTACAGCTCCCAGAAAACCCCTCGGTAGGAATGGGGATCTGAAAGAGCTACAGATATACCTGACACCAAAGCAAGGTCTCTGCCCCACCCACCCTGCTTTAATATTCTGGAAAATTGTTTGTTTAAGGGGCAAGTACTCAAGAAACCTCTTCTTTGTGCTGGTCCTATGTGAACCACTTGAAGACATTAGAAAATAGGAATGAGGAAGGAAAGTTATAAAAGAGCTGGCAGATGACACAGGGCAGTAGAAACTCAAGAAACAGGACAGCCAATGCAACCCCAGAATCCCTGTAGGAATGACAGCCTCAGCAACCACACCCCAGTGGGTGGCCCTCCGGGGCCACTAGTCAGAATGTGCAGGGGACAGAGTCTCCTTCCATGATGGCATCTGAAGGAGGATCCAAAGGAAACAGTCACATTATGAACTGCTATTGCTCTTGTGGGAATAATTTACTGCACCTAAGAACTCAGGCTCCCTCCTTACCAGTTTCAGAACCTTCATTAAATGTAATCACCACAGTATTCACTATGCCAACAACATGGAGCCACAGTTACTGTCTTAAAGAAAATGCATCATAAATTGATGCAATCACTTTGGAAAACAGTCTGGCAGTTACTGAAAGCATTAAACATCAAGCTATCATATGATCCAGCAATGCCACTCCCAAGTATAATCCCAGGAGAACTGAAAACATACATTCATGCCAAAACTTGTACACAAATATTCAAAGCAGGATTATCCATGACAGCCGAAAAGTGGAAACAATCCAAATGGCTGTCAATTGAGAATAGATAAACAAAATGTGGTACAGTCATACAATGGACAGCTATCCTGTCATAAAAGGGAATGAAGTACTGATAAGTGCTAAAGCGTGAATAAACCTTGAAAACATTATGCTTAGTGAGAGAACCTAGACACAAAAGCACACATACTGTATAATTCTATTTATATGAAAAGTCCAGATTAGACAAATTCAGAGAGATAGAAAGTAGATTAGTGGTTGGCAGAGGATAGGAAGAGAGGAGAATGGGAATAATTGATAACAAGTATGCAGCAGCATGAGAGTGAGGAAATGTTCTTTCAGGATAAGGAAAATGTTCTAGAATTAGGTAGTGGTGATGGATGCTGGGAATGATGCTGGGAATGATTGAGGGCAGGAGGAGAAGGGGACAACAGAGGATGAGATGGTTGGATGGCATCACCGACTCAACGGACATGGGTTTGGGTGGACTCTGGGAGTTGGTGATGGACAGGGAGTGCTGCAGTTCATGGGGTCGCAAAGAGTCAGACACAACTGAGTGACTGAACTGAACTGATGGTTGGGCAGCCATCAGAATATACTAAAAACCACTCACCATGCTTTAAATAGGTGAATTTTATCTCATGTTTATGATACCTCAATAAAACTGCTGTGTATATATATATATAAAGATCAACCCACCCACCTACACCACCACCACCAAAAGTTAATACAGGGTTTGGGGCAAGTATGGCCAGGGTGACAATTTTTATTTCTATTTCTCTAGCGGTTTGGTTTTTGTTTTGTTTCAAAATTTCCCTCTCTGATGTGCAGCTATTACCTCACCAACTGAAGCACTGAGACCAGAGACACTTTGCTGGATGATTCAAATCCAAACTCTTCTGGGTGAAACAGATAATCTTGGGCAAGTCAATTATTCTATATCTTAGTCTCCTCATGAAAAAGTGGGAGGGTAAGATCACTGACCTCACAGGGTACTTGTGAGTTTAATAAGAGAATGCTGTAAAGGATTTAGATCAGAGTTTGGCACATTAGTAAGTATTCAAGAAATATCAGCTGCCATCATTTTTGTTCTTACAAATACAACACAGTAAAATACTACTACTTGTCATTATAGGCAGCACTTACACAGCATTGCTACAGCATTTTACAGAATCTTAAGGTGTTTAGTCCTCATCACTGCCTTGTGAGATAGGTACTCGTATGCCCATTTTACAGATGAGCATTTACTGTGAAGTGGATGAACACTGGACAGTGACGTGCAATCTGTACATACATTTTGTGGAAATTTAGGAGCAAGTAAAGAGCATAGAGAGCTGAGGTAATCAAACAGGACTTCATGAAGTAAGTGACCTTGGAAGGAAAGGAAGATAGGCCTTGGATAATCTCACAGTGTGGGAAAGTGTGGTGAGGGCCTTGAAGGTGAAATGGAAGCTGCCAAGAAGTGGAAAAGATCAACAGTTATTTACTGTAAGGAACAAATAGTTTCACTGTTATGTTATATTCTGCCCCTCAGAAATAACTACTAATTAGGAAAATTTTTAAATAATCATCATATTCTAAAGGGATAAAACATTTTCTTTCCCTCAGTCTTTTGACCTTTTTACATATACATATAAGAAACAATTGCTAGTTAGAAAAATTAGTAAATAATGGTTTTCTTTCTTCTTTCTAAAATAAACCTTAGTGTTTTAATTCCATTTGCCTGTTTTAGTTACTACACCTTGGAGATTTTTCTCCACATGGATCTACTGCACCCTTTGTTACAACTGCATAATACTCCACAATAGGAATATTCTGTGACTCATTTCTCCCTTCTCCTACTGATCAGTTTTCCACTATTACAAGCACTGTTTGTAAATACAGTACTGTTGTTTGTGATCCTGTAGTAATATCTTTGTTCGAGCCTTTTCTTGGATTGTTTCCTTTTGTTTTTGTTTGTTCTTTCGTTCTTAGATTGTTTTGAGTGGGAAAAGGCAACCGTCTTCAGTATTCCTGACTAAAAAGATTCCAAGGACAGAGGAGCCTGGCAGGCTACAATCCCTGAGGTTGTAAAGAGGCGGACACGACTGATTGCAAGCATGATGCCACGACCGAGATATCAACAAATAACAGGAAGCGGAAATGCTGGGTCATAGATCCAATTTTTAAAACACGAATCAAGCAGGAGGCAAATGGAAATTTTCTGTACCTTCGTTTCAATTTTGTTGTGAATGTAAAACAGCTTTTTTAAAGAAAAACAAGCAGTCCTTAAATCAAATCAGAGATTGGGCCGGCTCGCACCCCCACTCCGCTTGCATACCAGGAACCCAGACCTGGAGCCGGGGGGATGGAGGAGCTCGAATCCGTTAGGCTGCTCGGGTCGAGACCGCGCCGGGTGCAGCCCTCCAAACAAACGCTTGAGGTGCGAGGACACAGTGACCTACTACCCTCCCTGCACGCGCTCTGGCCCCGCCTCCCGGCCCCTTTCATTGAGAAACGCCTTAGCGATCACGTGAAAGAGGCATGCCGGCTGCGTGACGTCACGCAGCGGGGACCAATGGTAGCTTCTGTTTATGTCGGGGGGTGGGGGGTGGTCGGAATATTCATCCCCATTCCGCCGCCGCCGCGCTGCCCTCTAGCGCGGGTGGTGAGCGACGAGCCAGAGCGGGAGGCGGCCCGGCTGCAGCGCTAAGGGGAGGGCCGCGCCGGCTCCTTCTGCAGCCCTGTCTCCGTCAGCTCCCCTCGCCGTCACTGGGGCTCCGTGCTGCTCCAGGCCGGGGCGGAAGCTGCGGCCTTCGCGGGCGGTCGGATCCGCGTCCCGCCTCAGCGCCCGGAGGACATGCGGGAGAGAGAATGAGCCAGAGGGACACGCTGGTGCATCTGTTTGCCGGAGGGTACGTTGCATCCGGGGCTTGCGGACGGTGATTGAGGGCTGAGGCCGAGGGCCGTGGCCTGAGAAGGCTAGAAGGGTGAGGGGGATGCGGCCCGGAAGCGCAGGGGTGAGGGGACTGGAGCTGGGAGCCGAAGAAGCCCAGAGGGCTGAGGCCCAGGCAGGGAGGGTGGGAGGGTGAAGCCGGCTGGACGTCAGGCTTTTGGGCCCGCGGAGCCGGAGCAAGGCCTGGGGAGTGGCCGGCGGCGCTGGGGTCCACGTAGGCCCACGTAGGCCGCGTCGGGGATGCGCGGCCGCGGAAGTACAGTAGCTGCAGGCCTCACGTAGGTTGCCCGGTCTGGTCGGGGGCGGCAAGTGCGGAGGCCGAGGACAAAATGGGCGCCGCACCTCCTTTCCTCCCTGGCGCGCGGGCTGCGGCGGGGCCTCACGTAGCTCACGCCCCTCCTCGGACCTCGCGCGGCTGATTTCCGGGCGCTAGTCGGTCCCGGTCAGTCGTCCTGGAGCTTCCGGCTCCAGCGGGAAGGCTTTGGGGTTCGGTTGCTCGCAGTAGCTGTATGTTTCTAGCTCAGAAAATTTCCTTCCTGAGCTTTTCCAGGTTGCGAGGTGCTGTGTCAAAGCGACAGTGCGTACGGGGTCAGATTCTTTTAACTGAAAATCAACCCTCTTGCAAATCCGCTGCTTTTCGTCCGCTTAAAGAAGAAAAGTGGGGGTAGGGGAGAGGTCAGAAGCTTTGACAGTAGTTACTGTTTGTACAAGGTTAAGACTAAAAGTCTTCGTTCCCTGTTTGCCAGCCTGAGTGCTACAGATCTTTTGTTCAGCCAATTTAGTCTCCTTTTTTAGGTTGTTCTTTCCAAATTTGGAGAGGCATAGCAATTTTAAATTTAGAAGCTACTACTTTTTTGCAGGGTCATAAAGAGTCTTATCAAAAATGGATACGACGAATTATGCTGAGGTTCTTTTCTGCCTTTGTGACCATATAAAGTCGCATCCCCTCAAAGCATGCAGTTTATTTCTAAATCAGCCACTTTAAGAATATTAAACTAATACATACGCGGTTCTGTTCATAGTGGCTTCATTGCAGTTAGACGTGTGGACTCTATTGCCAGTGATGACCATGCTTTCCTTAGGTTGGCACATTGACTCAACAAACACTGTACACCACTTGTGGACCAGGCACTGTTCTGACATTAAAGTACTTTTCATTTAGTTTGTGAGACTCCGTTTTGGTAGGGTTTGCTTTTTGTATTAACTGTTTAGCAATAATCTTGACAAATCATTTTTAAACCGATTAGCCGTGTAGGTATTCTTGTAAAGATGTCTTGTTATGCAAATAATTGGGTTCCCTTCTGTAATTAGATCATAAGGTAATTCTTGAAAGTTAGACACACATCTACTTCTGGCCACTATTTTAATCTGAGTGAGAAGTGGACAAACTCTTTGATCTCAGTTGCTTCATCTCTAAAATGAGAACGTTGAGACGGTCTCTAAGGCCCTGTTCTAGGTCCTAAAATTTTTATTGTTCTACATGCTGTCGAGTTTTGTTTAAAATGTGCTCAGTCACAGCCGGCTCTTTGTGAACCTATGGACTGCAGCCCACCAGGCTCCTCTGTCCATGGGATTTTCCAGGTAAGGATACTGGAGTGGGTTACCATTTCTTCCTCGAGGGGATCTTCCCCACCCAGGGATTGACCCCTCATCCCCTGCCTTGTCAGGCAGATTCTTAACCACGGGGTCACCTGGGAAGCCTTGTTAAAAATAGGGCATATTTATTTGCAATGTTAGCTTGATTGCACTAATTTCCCAGTTTGGGAGCCCCTCTACCCCTCCATACTCCACTATTTTGGCCTGGAGAATTCCATGGTCTGTATCGTCCATGGGAGTCACAAAGCGTCAGACACGACTAAGCAACTTTGACTTTTCACTAGCCCCCAAAAAAGAACTTAGTGTGTGCAGGTTATTTAGAGTTTTAAATGAAGTACTTGTTTATAGGACCTGACATAAGATAGATGCTCAACCTCATAAATTCTTCCTTTGCATCCTGTCTCCATTATATGTTTATATGTAGTTGCATAAGTTATTTCAGTAAAATTTGGCTTATCTTTCTTAGAGAAACATTAGAACTAGGAAGGATGGTAAAGATCACCTGGCTTAGCTCCTTCAAAATATGGGGAAATACCAAGGTATAAAAAATGTACTTCCCCAACATCAAACAACTTTTCATACATGCTGAGTGAGAGGTAAATAATCTCTTAGGAACCTTCCAGCTCTGTGGAATGTTCTGAAAATCTGTATCCTAAGCATTATGTAAATGCAAATTGACTTGTGGGTAACTTTGTTGAAGATGTCTGAGTGGTTCACCTGGTAAATAATCTGCCTGCTATTGCAGGAAACATGTTCCATCCCTGGGTCAGGAAGATCCCCTGGAGAAGGAAATGGCAACCTCCAGTATTCTCACCTGGAGAATCCCATGAACAGAGGAGCCTAGTGGTCTACAGTCCCTAGGGTGGCAAAGAGTTGGACACAACTGAGCATACACACAGACAGTATATCTCAAGCTGTGTATTTAGGCAATCATTTCTTGGACCTTCTTTATAGAAAACTAGATTTCATTTTTTTATCATGATAAAATTATGTAAATTAAAGTTAGGGAAACTTATTTTTACTTTAATAATAACCAGATAGAGAAAAGGAATTCTTTTTTATTAGCTGTTGTGCAAGAACCAAAAACCTTTCACAGTCATTAGACAAAAATCATTTTAAGATAGAACCTTTAAATTATTTTCTTGATTATAATCGTATGTATTCAAATATGTGTTTGCATCTCAGATTTTTAGGAGCCTTGTAGTGCTATTATTAAATCAGAAAATTTTGAAACATTCTAGCACTGGACCTTAGGTCTGAGTGACAGCCTCACATGTGTAACTCGTGCTTTCTTTAACACACCCTTTGGTCCCATTAAGTTTTTGTCAGGGTTAATATTCAGAGTAAGGTCATCGGTTAGGTTGTATTAACGGAGGCCGCTCATGACAGCCTGCAAAAAGGATGTAAATACAATTTTATTTTAGCTATACTTTTAATAACAGTGTTTGTGTATGAAGATTTAAGCAGTATGTTTTACATTCTTTGATAGATCTACATTGTTTACTTGTGTGTCAGTTGCATATGTTCACCAAGAAGCAGTTTGGGGTTTTTTTCTATTTGAGAGAGAGATTGCCTCAAATGGGAGGAATAAATCTCCAACTTAGGTGGATGAATTTTTTTCCTGTGTAGCTCCTGTGACAGTGAGAGCTTAAAACATACAGTGGGAAATCTCAGGTTATCTAAGATTGTTTATATTTATATCCTGGAATTAACCCAGTCATTTATTAAACCGTTTATTTTTCATTTATTCAGTAAGAATTTCCAGTGGGTGTCAGATATCTTGGTTCTGCAGTAATTTTGTCATAGTATTTGTTAAATGACTTCACCTGTTTCCTTGTAAGATCTGGGCAGAAGTAGAATACTTAAACGTATAATTAATGTGGTTTATATACAGTTTACTTTGTCTATATTTTTGCTTAGCTTTATTTTCATGATTTTTGCAACTTTTTCTCCTTAAAAATACATTCTTTAATTCTGCCTGATAGATTGTAAGACTAAGGTAAGTTACTTATCCTGATGTAGAATATTCTCGAAGAAACTTGCATTCCTCTAAGGAGATTATTGTGGTATAGCATTGTGAGTCAGGAACCCCTGGGAGTTCCCAAGAACTTTTGGTGGTCTGAGACGTTAAAGCTCTTCTCATTAAAAAATTAACACATTATTGCCTTTTCACTGTTGACGTTTGGACCGCTGGTGCAAAAGCAATGATGCCTTAGCATGCATCAAGGCAGCATCCCCAGACTCTGTCGGTAGTCACTAGCACTTGCCCTATAAAAACACAGGTTCACTTAAGAATGTTTTTGAAACAGTAAAAATTGGTTTTAAATCTTGACGTTTCTGTATACAACATTTTATATTCTGCATGAGAAAATGGGAAACATGAATAAAGTACTTCTGCAATTTTTGCAGCCTCAAACTGAACTAGCCTCTTTTTTCATGAGAACCACTCGACTGTGACTATTCAGACTTGAATATTTGGCAAATACTTTCTCAAAAAAAAAAAATGAAAGAGGTGGGCCTGTTGCTTCGAGGAAAACCACTGGTAGCATTTGTTGCCATGTGATAAAATCTGAGTTTTGAAGCACTAATTGGAACTTTTGAAATCTTGAATAGATAGGGAATGTAATTTTTAAGATATTGTATAATAAAATGTATCTGCATTTGAAAGACCTGCATAATCTAGTGAACCAGTATTTTTCAAATGACCAGTGCATGATGTTATAGAATAATACATAGGTAAAGGAGTCAAAACATAAAGCAATGGGTTTTAATGTAACAAAGTGAAAGTTTATTGGTATAGTCCAGATTCCATATTGCAGCTAATTTCCAGAGCCTACCACATGTCCAGTTTTAATGTAATATTGAAAAATGCCCACAATTACCTGAAAAGGGGGGATTGAATTGTTATGCTGAGTAAATTATATCATTAGTTAAAAGGTTTCAGTGCCATGGTTGAGGAACAATGGAGCAGGATGAAAGGGAATCATGGGGCTGGGGGACACTGTAGTTCCAAGTAGCGGAGTCTTGGTGGAGTCCTAACTGAGAAGGTGACTTTTGAATAAAGACCTGGAGGGGAGAGAGTTAACTATTTAGGTAGACCAGGCAGTGAAAAGGCCCTTGGGTAAGTATAGTCAGAGTAATAGAGCCTTATTAAGCCATTTGGCTTTTTTTCCTGAAATGGGAAGAGTCACTGCAGGAGTTTTCAAGGCTAACTCGGGTCGCTGTGCATAGAGTACACTGTACATGGGGCAAGGCCAGAGGTGAGGAAATGATTCGGCTATTGAAATAATCAAAATGAGAGGCAGCAGTTCTTCAGAGAAGGTTGTAATGTATGTGACATGTGAAGAAAAATTAGTAACTGCA